AAATCTATACCTTGCCACATGGCTCGTGGCTTACCGGCATCTTCACATGCTGTTTCTCATCATGGTGGCTGACAGTGTCTCTCTGACTCAGCCTTCCACTTCCCAGCTTTATTCTCCTCCTTGCCCCGCCTACACTTCCTGCCTAGCCAATAGCCAATCAGTGTTTTATTTATTGACTAATTAGCAACACATTTGCCATACAGAACATCCTACAGCACAGAATCATCCTTGGTTGCTCTTTTACCTTACTCCATGAGGCAGGGTTTCTCAGTCATACCCAGCTTAACAATGTGGCTGGTCTTGATAGCCAGCTTGCTCTGTAGATCCCTGTTGCTGCCTTCTGAGGCTGGAATTACAGGCCAGCCTCCATGCCCACCCACCATGGGCTGTGTAGATCTGAACTTTAGTTCTCATGATTGTGGGACAAGTACTTTAACAACTGAGCCCTCCCCCCAACCCTGTTACTGCTTTAGAACTGTCCTCACTGGCAGCCTGGTAAGGCTCGCATTATAATTGTGAGGAAATGCTAACCAGAGAAGGGAAGTGACCAGCTGGTGGCAGAGCCTTGGTGACCACAGATTGCCCTCAGTATCAAAACTGTGTTTCTTAAATTACATCACAACATTGAATCATGACCAGTGACATCCTATCCATTAGGCAATTTGGCAAACAGTACAAAGAATGAGTCATCTGATTCTCTGAGTTAGAAGAGGAGCCACACAGGCCTCTGCTTCACCATCCTCTGTTTTTCTACCCCTTTGTGGCTGTTAATTGCTTTAGCAGGTGCTTTGACTCTCAAACATGGTAGTCAAAGTATTGTACATAAATATTCTATTAGCCTATTAAGTGTGTGTGTGTATGCATGTGTGTGTAACACTTATTTTGAATCAGTTTCCCAGAGCCCAGTGTTTCTAAGTGATAAATATTTTTTACTCATTTGTTTTGTGTCTGTATGATGGCATGAAGACCAGATATCAACATTGTATGTCGTCCACCTGTTGTGAAATATCAGTTGAAGATGTGTTGCATTTGTTTATGCTGTGGAACATTTGTTTAATGATGCAAAGATGTATTTCATTCTTTTATGCTGCATTTGTTTAACTTTGTGAAGCTGTGATATTTGCCTGTCTAAAATGTCTGATTGATCTAATAAAGAGCTGAACAGCCAATAGCAAGGCAGGAGAGGGATAGGTGGGGCTTCTAGGCAGAGAGAATAAATAGGAAGAGAAGAGAGAGGAGCAAGAAAAGGAAGAGAGAAGGATGCTGGGGGCCAGCCACCCAGCTACACAGCAGACATGGAATAAGTAGGAAAGGAAAGATATACAGAAGTAGAAAAAGGTAAAAGCCCAGAGACAAAAGGTAGATAGGATCATTTAACTTAAGAAAACCTGGCTAGAAATAAGCCAAGCTAAGGCCGGGCATTTGTAAGAAAGAATAAGCTTTTAAAGGTACCTTGACTTCAAAATTTGGATGTAAGGATATGTTGCTTTGGAAAGGAGGCTCTGCTTTTGTTTCCACAGAAAGACAGAGGCTATGGATTTGTTCCAGATTAAGATACATCAGATTTGACCAGCCAAGACCCCCTGAAAGGTCTCCGATGACACCAAGGCCCAGATGATCCAACATCCAGAACCGTTTCAAGGCAACTGGCTCAGATGATACAGCCTCATGGACTACTCCATAATTCTAAAATTTTCTTTGTGTCCCCATAAGATACAGCACCCCCCTCCAGCAGGAAGTAGTAAGAGAAGCTATGCCCAAATTCCCAAATATACCAAGCTGGCTTTGGAGATGTGTAAAAGTTAAAACCTTCCTTTAAAAAAAAAAAGAAAAGGGGAAGTGCTGTGGTATGGTCTGTATGTAAAATGTGTTACTCTGATTGGTCAATAAATAAAACACTGATTGGCCAGTAGCCATGCAGGAAGTATAGGCGGGACTAACAGAGAGGAGAACTGAGAGAACAGGAAGGCGGAGGGAGACACTGCCAGCCTCTGCCATGACAAGAAGCATGTGAAGATGCTGGTAAGCCACGCACCATGTGGCAAGGTATAGATTTATAGAAATGGATTAGTTTAAGATATAAGAACAGTTAGCAAGAAGCCTGAGCCATTAGGCCAAACAGTTTAAATAATATAAGCATCTGTGTGTTTATTTTATAAGTGGGCTGTCAGACTGCTGGGGCTTGACGGCACCCGGAGACAAAACTCTCCAGCTACAAGAAGCCTCTGTGTGATTATTTGGGAGCTAGGTGGCGGCCCCCACCCAAGAGTAAAGAGTAAAAAAATAAAATAAAAAACATCCAATATTACATTCCACCTTAGCTTTCACAAGAAAACTGAACCTGAAGCTCCCCAGTCCAGGTGGACTGACCGGCCAGTGAACGCCATCTCTTGTCTCTGCCTCTCCAACATGGGTTTGCAGGCATGTCTCAAGCACATTCATGTTTCATGCTGCATGACAAGCACTTTTCAGACTGAGTCATCTTTCTATCCCTCAAATTTGTTTGTTGAAATGGAGATGCAGAGGACAAGAGGTCAGAGCGCCTGTCTGAAGCAGAAGGTAGGTTCTAATCCATACAACACTCCTTTTTAGTTCAAGTCCACACATGGACACTTAGCTCCAAAACACATGCCAATGAAGTTCCAAGGCCATTTGCTGTGGGGCCACCATATGTCAGGAGCTCAGCCAGCAGAGGCAGAGGCATCCTGCTAAGAGTTCCTGTAAGTTCTTTCATTCTCCACACTTCTGCTCCTATAGTTTTCTAAACGCCAAAAGCACCTTCAGGTGACAGGCACAGCTAGTGTCCTACAGTTTACTTTCTATGTCAAGTCCTTCAACCCTCTAAGGAGGTGGTTTCCAATCTTCAGGTCTCAACTCCTTTGGGGGTCACATATCAGATACCTTGCATATCAGACATTTATGATTCATAACAATAGTAAAATTACAGTTACGAAGTAGCAATGAAATAATTTTCTGGTTGGGGGTCACCACAACATGAGGAACTGTATTAAAGGGTAGCAGCATTAGGAAGGTTGAGAACCACTACTCTAAGGGCAGGAATCATGTATGCTCATGTTCCAACACTACTCTACCCCCGAGTGTCCAGCACACTGCACATGGTATGAATTCAACATTCAATACATGTGTGTTGTTGCCTTGCTGAATAACCAACTTTTTGCAATTTCTTTGGCTGCTTCCCTGATTTTTCTTACAGTTCTGGCCCCTGAGTTCCAGGGAAATACAGAGGATTGGCTATCCTCCTGCGGGCCTCACTAAACTGCTTAGCCTGTGAAAACCATGTCAGTTACAACCATGTACATGACAATCCTCTGGGTACTTAACGAATGTTGAATGTTTATCCTAATTTCCTAGATACTAACTGGAACTCTCTCAAAAGAGGTCGTTTTCTCAGACTATTCTCAAATCTGCTAGATCCTCCCTCATATGACTAGAATTATCTCAAAGAATCTTTTATCTGGAAAAATGTCAATTCCTTGTCATTAAAATCTGACTCACAGAGATGTTCAAGCCACCAAGAAGCAGGGTGGTTCAGAAGGAAGAGGGGGCGTAGTGACCCAGGAAGTCCCTATGAAGGTCACAAAGTCTCACAAAACATCAAAGTGGAGAGGCAGTTTCCCTTAGTTATTGTGGAGGGACTGCATCTTTAAACTCTTCTTTTTTTTTTTCATTTTAAAGAATAGTGCTTTATTGAATAAGTCTTAGTCACAGAAAAATAAGCTTTAATCTACAACAAATGACAGATTATAGAGCAGAAAGCAATTTTCATAAATTTCCATACTGAAAGGTATCCACTAAATGAAAAAAAGCCATAAAATTATATTCACAAATATAGTATTCTGTCTCAAAATGCTTAACATAATTAATTATTCACAACACTAACAAAACAACAAAACAATTGGTCATTCTGTCAGGTGAAGTATAACAAAAAATGCAAAACCAGAAACTACATTAAAGCCATTATTAATATTAAATTTAAAATGCAAGCTTGTTGGTAAGTATTGACAGTGATAAAAATAAACTCACACAGCTGAACTGATCCTTTCTTCTTTGTTATATGTCCTGAAGATATGGTAATACAAACCGTAGAAGTCATCATCCATTCTTTATTATTCTTGATATTTTATATGAATTCACTTGATCAAATTTCTCCTTTACCTCATGCCTCAAGCAATGCATACATTCTAACTGTGATTAAAAAACTAAGCAAGTGAGGACGGAAGAAGTGGTTTAGAAGTTGAGAACCCATCAGGCGGTGGTAGCACACTCCTTTAATCCCAGCACTCAGGAGGCAGAGGCAGGTGGATCTCTGTAAGTTTGGGGCTAGCCTGGTCTACAGAGCGAGATCCAGGAAAGGCGTAAAGCTACACAGAGAAACCCTGTCTTAAAAAACCAAAAGAAGAAGAAGAAGAAGAAGAAGAAGAAGAAGAAGAAGAAGAAGAAGAAGAAGAAGAAGAAGTAGAAGAAGAAGAAGTTGAGAATCCTTTCTGCTCTTCCAGAGGACCCTGGTTTGGTTCCCAGCACCTCCATCAAGCAGCTCACAACCACCTGTGACTCCAGTTCCAGGAGATCTGAAGTCCTGTTGTGGCCTCTTTGGGCACCAGTACTCATGTGGTTCACACACAGACAAAACACACACACGCACACACAAGTGTATAAACAGTTTCAAAGACATCTTTCCCTCTGTGTCCCTTCCTTCCCCCACAGGAAATGCTATAAAAGATAATTGTACCTCATTTCTTTGTTTCTCTTGTGCAAAGTATGCAGATATCATATATAACCATAAAACATTTCCAGGACCAAAATTGTTCTGCATTTTATGATATTTTGTTTCTCTTTGAGGACTTCTATTATTAATGCAGATTTGCCTTGCTGTGTGAATAGCTTCATGGCTCATCACCAAGTGGCTGTGGTCATTTTACTCTGTTTTCATTGGTATACATTCAATCCGTGTCTAAGTTCTTTTTTTTTTTTTTTTTTTTTTGGTTTTTCGAGACAGGGTTTCTCTGTGTAGTTTTGCGCCTTTTCCTGGAACTCACTTGGTAGCCCAGGCTGGCCTCGAACTCACAGAGATCCGCCTGGCTCTGCCTCCCGAGTGCTGGGATTAAAGGCGTGCGCCACCACCGCCCGGCATCAATCCGTGTCTAAGTTCTTGATGCCTGTGTGTGTGTGTGTGTGTGTGTGTGTGTGTGTGTGTGTGTGTGTGTGTGTGTGTGCAATGTCCACGGATGACAGGAAAGTGCATCATACATCCTGGAATGGATTTACATGCAGTTGTGAGCAGCCTGGTATGGGTGCTAGGAACCCAACGCAGGCCCTCTGCAAGGGCAATAAGCCTCTCAACAGATTTTTCTGAAAACTTCTAGTATGAAAGGCCTCATTTAAGTGCTGATGGCACTACCAACTACAACAGTCATGGTCCCTACCCTCATGCAATCTATGCTCTAGCCAAGGACAGTAGAGGATATGTTATAAACAAACACAGGTGAGGTACTGATGCCGTGAAATGAAGATAGCCACATAGGAGACTTTAGCTTACATAGAATGACTATGGGGAGCATCCTGACCAGGAGACATTAGAGCTGAGACCTGAAGGAAATTCTGTCATGATGTGCGTGTCTGTAATCAGTAGTATTCCAAGCTGAAGAAAAGCTAAAGGTCAGTGACTAGACAGCACCCCAGATGTCATGGTCCACTATCTTGGTCTTAGTCACTCTGTCTGTGTGCTGCTTGTTCCCACACGTTTTCTAAGTCTCCACTAAGATATTAGTTCTTTCCCTCATGCAGAAGACTTTGATATATTATGATAATCACTAAGATAATCATTCTTTGCCTTTTTGTATTGCAAATGTTTTCTTGTAGTTTTTTTTTAAATATTAATTTCATTTACTGCATTTTTTTTTTTTTTTTTGTGGATGTAGTTTGGCGTTTCTTGTGAAACAGTGGCCATAACCATTTGTGTCCCTCTGGTATCCATGAGGGAGCTCTGAGTTAGATTTTATCCCAGGAAATTGTCAGACTCACCAGCAGTTGTCTGGGTCTCCTACACAAACCCCACAGATAGATACTGTAAATAATGTGGTTGTTTTCCTTCGGGAAATGAAGACATGAGGTTTGGACGGATTCACTGGGGTTCCCAGAAAACTTCAGGATGGGTATATTTCTGGGCTAATCACTGGGTGCTTTGGAAATGGTTTAGAGGATGGATTACTGATAGATTGCTCTCGCCTTGCCTATAGGCAAGATTCCATGGAAGTGTACCACATTAATACGGCATATATTGAGTAATTGATTACTGAAATCTGTGGATGGCTGAGAGTCAGGAACTTGGCTTGGGATACAATCTTTGTGGTGTATGATAGAGCTGGTATGCATTAGCTTTGAAATAAATCTCTGGGTGATATTTATTAGGTATATCTAAAATTAGAAACATCAATACAGTTTTCTGAAAAAAAAACTATAATCCTTGGATCAAAAAATTAATACACAAATTTCTAGGGTGAGAGCTTAAAACATTTTCAAAGCTTATGGATAACCACAGCACCCACCCATGCTTGGCAAGCCTGAAAGCAAGCATCAGGCTCACACTGCACAGATCTTTTTGCCACATCTGTTCATTCCAGAAGAGCTTCAGCACCCTTGAATGTTATGAGTCATTTTTATATAAACTCCAAGTGGCAAAGTTGTATTAAAATAACCAAGTACATGTGTTTAGCCACACTCTTCTGACAATTAAATATTGTTTGCCCCATAAGGATGTTCAAGAGTCTCCTGAGGTCATTCATCAGCACACTGCCTGTGAATGTGGTGACTTTATCATTGAATGTGGGACATTTTAACTTGTCTTTCTTTTACTTATTTCCACTACTTTGTTATTCACAGAAGAGGGAATCATTTCTACTTTCTCTTCACAACGTCCAACAGGGTCAAGAACAATATTGGAAACACAAAAGTGGTTTATAAACATATGGCATGTGACCTCATACTCCTCAAATCATGAAACATTAGCCATCGTTGTCTTGTAAGAGCAGTGGATAATTAAATTCTCTACTTACCATCCATAAGAGAAGACATGTTATTAAGGTCACAAAAAGAACACCAACTCTAAAGAGAAATACCAGCATGTCCTTATATTGCACATTGTACTAAACTATTAAAAGGACTTCAAACTGGCATGTTTAGGAAACAACATACATATGAAAATTCAAATCTTGTAATACATAAAGTGATTTTGTTCTGAAAGATCAGATTTAGGAGGGAGTGACAGATGCAGGAGATGTGCAGAGGAGGGTTCCAGGCCACTTCTTTGTTTTTATGACCCCACAAAATTCACTGTAGGAGTATGTCATTCCAACCCCAGTCTCAGGACAGAAAAACACTGTCCTTTGACCTAACCTCCAGACAACTGCAAACCGAGTTTATGATTCTTTCAGGAATCTGTGATTCACTTTGGACAAATGAAAGGCCAACACATGCTGTCAGGCCTTCTGACACATAGCAGCCCACATTTCAGACCTCCATCTGAGAAACCCTGATTTACAGAATTCATCCTTGGGACAGCAGGATGCTTGCCTAACTTCTTCATCACACACACACACACACACACACACACACACACACACACGCACGCACGCACGCACGCACGCACGCACAGAACCCCATCAATACTGACAAAAACATCAGCATACACATTTACACTTTCTGTTCCTCTTGACTTTCTCAAGATGCTGCATTTGCATCACTTAGCTCTGGATGCCAATGTGTGGCTAAAATAATGGAGTCACAGGAAGAAGGAAGGATCCTCTTATGATTTCTGCTCTAGCTCTCCTCTTGAGTGCATGGAGTCAAGGCTTAATTTTCACTTAAATCCCCGTCATTGCTTAGCAGCATCTGCTGTGTTATCCCGTTTTCTCTTTACGACTTCTGGAGAACTCTCCATGAATGAGTCACGTGTTTTCTAATTCCTGCCTCAGGCTCTACTTCTAAGGGATCTGTGCTCATAAAATGTTAAAAGGGGACTTTTAATAATTCTGCTACACAGTATGTGACTGGCTATAGTACCAAGCTTTGGTTGGATTAGTATTTTGTTTTCTACGAAAATATTACTACAAGGGATAGACTTCATGGCCAAGGCAAGAACAGCACATTCATTCACGTTTCAATAATCTCAGAATTCATCAAATGTACCTGCTCTTTTCTCCTCTTCAAAGTTTGCACGCTAGGTCTGGGCTGTTTTTCTAGGGAACTCTAGACTACCGTCAGTTGAGAATCTCTTCCCAGCCTGGCCTATTGACCAGTGTTGCTATCCCTCACAGAGCCTCGTGGCACACTGAGCCTCGCCAGCCCCTTGTGATCGATTATAAATGCAGGAGAAACATAGAGGCTTCTCAGATGTTTGTTAACCTGCAGAACCTAGAATTCTGTCTGACACATAACATGATATAATTTTAAATTAAAAACAAGTGAGTGTGTAAGAATGCTAGTGAACTGGAAGATTTATTATTTATCATGTAATTCCTACTAAGGATTTCTGTAAAATATAGAGACTGGGCAATATTTTTTGCAGGTAGGCGGCTGTTCTTCATCCCTAGACTCTGCCAGGCTGTTCCCTGGCACTGTTCTAAAGTGGTGTTAGGGTGGGGGCACTCACACCACATTTGCTAAGATCTTTCATTGATATCGTCAGACTGTGTGCGCTTAGAGACATAAGCTGTGCCACATCCACTTTCTAATGCCTGAAGCAAAATGCTCAGGCAGTACAGAAAGAGTCCCACACCTTCTCAGGTGTTGGGCGATGCTGTGCCAATTGAGACTAGGCTCTGGAGCCCAACTTTTCTACCTACTCTTCGTGTTCATTCTCAATAAGGCCCTCAGTTTCCTCTACACTGGACTCACTCGCCTCTCCTGTGGAGAGCCCTCTCTCTGTCCTGCCACATAGGCTTCTCCCCTTACCTGGAACAGCTCCCCTGTGGCCTGGGTATGTCACATGTCACAGCGCACTGGAGCCCTTGGTTGGCTTACAAAGCTTTGCCTGACTTCATCTCTTGTTAATGTTCTTTTCAGCTGGATCTCACAAAACTTCAAGACCACAGAAATGTTGTCATCTTCTCTGGGTCAGAAGTCTGTCTTGGACGTTGTGAGTTAGAGATCAGTGATGCGGTGCCTAGAGCATAATTGACATAAATGTTCCCAGAGCTGTTACAGCTGATATCCTGTGGTGGGCGTGAGCCAAGAAAAAAAAAGACTTTTATGATTACCTTCAGTCCAGAACTGCATGCAAGAGATGGGAGAAAAACAGTTTGAGCCTGGGGCCATTGATTGGCAGTTAATGTAGATTCATTAATTTTATTTTATGTGTTTGTTTTGCCTGCATGTATGTCTGTACACCAGGTTCATGACTGGTGCCCACAGAGGCCAAAAGAGGTCATTGGAACTTGAGTTATGGATAGTTGTAAGCTGCTGTGTGGTGCTGGGAATTGAACCTGGTCCTCTGCAAGAGCCCCCACCACCACTGAGCCATCTCCCCAGTGGCAGTTAATGTAAAGAAACTTACAAATATGCTTTAGTCTGTGAGAAGGATAAGATACTCTTAACTTGGAAGGCCACAGTGTTGTACTTTGCATGGTGTGCTGACACTTTTTTGACTAAATTCCTCATAGTAGAACTGACATTTTAGAAGAAAAGGATTCAGTTTGTAGTGAAGCTCATGCTTTGAAAATTAGAAGGAAAGGTGTCATCCAGTGTTGGAGCTAGCTCACTTCTCCATGGTCCTCTTCGTGTCGTAGGTCTCCTCAGACAGCAGCACTGGCTGGAATCTCTCTCCTCTTCAGCAGACTCACACTCTGTGTCTGTCAGAAGCCATGGCACTTTAGAAGCTGACAGGTGAGCAGCCAGTGGTGTGAAGTGGATAAGATCTCACTAAGTATGGACAGGGAAAGAACAGTTACACATAACAAACAGGACTCTACAAGAGAGGGGCATAGCCATGTGGACACCTCAGGAACTCATCACAGTTGAAATGTCAGGAGGCAGAGCAAATCAAATCAAAGAACTCTTGCATAATCCATAGGCATTTCAGCTAAAAGAACACCACCAAAACTATACAGACAAATTTAGACTTACAGCCCAGGCAGTCTGGTTTGTGCTTTGTCATCTTAAAGAAATACATTTGCTCTAACCCCAATTTAAGCTTCATAGAAACTGCCTAAACCCCTGCGAACACTGGGCTCCGGGTGGACAGAGGGTGAGACAACTGGACTAGGATCAGTCACTTCCCCACCTGCACTATGATGGCCAGGAAAGAAGTAGGAACAGCGTGAAGAAGTAGCCTTCTAGACTAGTCTCTAGGAAAAGGAATAAATGCTATGGTTTGATACCACTCTGTCAGAAGGTGGTTTCAAGCACATCTGGTGCCCCCGAAATGTGAGTCTGCATCTTAGCTGATAGACCTGCTCATGGTTTTGCTCCATTCACTGAATCTCTCTCAGTTTCGATTTCAGCTATAAGATAAGTGTTTGGATAAAACGTTCCTTCACTTTCCCCTAAAACGATATTTTTAGAGACTGTGTCTTTGTAGTACAGTTGTTTCTAATAAGTAAAAATCTTAGCTGTAAATACTTTTAGCATAGGCTTTTGAGGGTAGAAAGTGTCCAGGTTCCTCCCAGTTTGACCGATTCCGGGCAGTATGTCGTCATCATCCTCAGGAGCAGAACTGTGGACTTTATGAAATATCTTTACCACCCTTCAAACGTGCCCTTGAATAAACAATTCAAAATCTTTTTTTTTTAAAGTGGGGCCTGTAGAGATGACTCGGTGGTTAAGAACACTTGCCGCTTTTGCAGAGGACCCAGGTTCAGTTTCCACGACAAAGCCCCTCACAAACATTGTTTTTCCAGTTCCAGGGAATCTGATGGCCTCTTCTAGACTCCATGGTCACTGCCTGTACAGGTTGTGAACATAAACTCATACAGGCATACATACATACACAAAAATCAAAATGAAAGGAAAATGAATTTGTAAAGTATGTTTACTCTCAGTGAACATGTCCTATGCTCACAACCCTTCCTTCTTGTTAGCAGTAATATAATTAATATAGAATTTTCTGTGTGGCTGGAGTGTTAGCAGTAATATAATTAATATAGAGTGCTCGCTGTGTGGCTGGAGTGTTTAAAGGTGTAAAGGATTTAATCTTCACAGAATTCTTAGGAGAGTGGTACGAAGAGTGCTGAAATTTTACAGATAAAGAAATCGAGGCTCACCTAGTCTCCACTTTAACTCACAGGAAGCCGTGACTGATGAGTGGTGGGGCCAGGGTAGTCTGCTTTTCTCTAGTCAGATTTGGAACCTAGCCCATAATATGCAGAATTCCAACAGTCCAGAATTATATTTAAGATTAGATAAAACGAGTTTTAGTGTTTTGTCATTTTCCTAAGTCTGCCACTGCTATCTTCTGGAATACATCAAGCACCTTGACATTTGAACACTTTCCTAAGACCTTTTAATAAGCAGAGTTGTTCACGGTGTGAGTCCCAGTTCACTCCAGCCTGCCTCTCCCTCTTCAGCTCTAAGACATCTGCTGAAGTGCAGGATAGATACACTCTGTACAGGTCACATTTACAAACTCAGGCATGGGTTTGCCCTCTGCCCCTCTTCACCCTTTCCAAATCCCCAAGCCATTTGCATATTATGTAGAATTTTACTACATTCTTGTTTCTAGTCTATGTTTCTGTTTTTTCCATCTCTTTGCTGCCTCTGATCATTCAACAAACATTTATTCAGCATGTGCTGGATGCCAGCCACCATTAAAGCTCTGGAGAGGTGAAAAGTGAAACGGTACATCTCTGCCCTTGGGCCTATAACTAATTAATAGGACTCATGGGACAGAGATAGCATGCTTCCAAACGATAGTGTGTTTCTAAAAGACCTTTGTGTTATCCTTGGACCCAGTTTCCACATCTATCTTAACTACCTTCTCTGCTTTCTCCAAAGCGGTCAATCCCACCTTATACTCCCCCTTACATCTCAGGAGAGGAACAAATGAAGATGTCTAGAAGAATTCACCTTTGGATGTGACCTCAAAGAAAGGTTTTAGCTTCTTCTTTATCATTTTATGAGCATTAAGTGTTTGTTTTGTCATTTTAAACAATGAGTAGATGCCCTCTAAACTATCTCGAGTGCCTCTTGGTTCTGCCCCAGACATGCCAGCATTCCTGGATTCACGCTGAATATGATTTCAAGAAGCTGCCTTTCAGAGGCACACAGTTTCTACCTAAGGTCAAAGCTGTGCTGCCCAGGCTCTCACGTCACATCCAGGTTATGTTTTCTGACTTCTTAGAGCTTCTTCTGGCCACCAGTGAACATCTTTCCTGAGGTCATTGTGGTATTGTATTCCCCCAAATATTGTGCATGCTAATAAACTTATCTGGGGTCAGAGACAGAGCAGCCACAATATTAAACATAAAGGATAGGCAGTGGTAGCACACACCTTTAATCCTAGCATTCCAGAGGCAGAAATCCATATGTTCAAGGATACAGCCAGGCATGGTGACTCATCATGCCTTTAATCCCAGAAAGCGAGCCTTTAATCCCAGGGAGTGGTAGTAGAAAACAGAAAGGTATATAAGGTGCGAGGACCAGAAACTAGAAGCATTTGGCTGGTTAAGTATTTGGCTGGTTAAGCATTTGGCTGGTTAAGCATTTGGCTGGTTAAGCGTTCAGCCTTTCAAGCAGCAGTTCAGCTGACAGCCATTGGAATGAGGACACAGAAGCTTCCAGTTGGAGGAAACAAGACCAGCTGAGAAGTTGGCCAGGTGAGGTTAGCTGTGGCTTGTTCTTTCTCTCTGATCTTCTAGTGTTCAACCCAATACCTGGCTCAGGTTTGATTTTATTAATAAGAACTTTTAAGATCCCTGCTACAGGTCATTTTCTCTACCAGCCCAGTTTTGCCTGGATGTTTTGCAAGCACAGATCATAGCTTTTATAGAATAGATTATGCTGTCTTTTGTTTTTCTGGGAACCTTATGCATGATAGACAAACCCTCCCACCAACCTTAGCCCACATGATATTATTATTACTGCTATTTAGGTCATGGATATTTTCTTCCTTAACTGATACTTTTAAAATAATATATCTTTTGAAAATTATAAGTCTAGGCTGGTGAGATGGCTCACATGTTAAAATATGTATACATGTGAAATGGTTAAATGGAGATATTTATTAATTCATACAGAGTCACACACACACACACACACACACACATATACAGGTACAAACATATTTTTCACAGATTTCTTTACTTTTATTGCCAGGAAAATGTTTTATATCTCTTAATAAACCAAGAGGAGAAAATGAAAAGAAAGACTGAGACAACATATATTTAGGGAAAGCCAAAATTATCAGGAGCGAATAAACAGAAAAGAAATTTATAAACTTGTAGGCTGGGATAGTGGCTTCCAAGGCTTGTCCACTCTTCCTTCCTTCCTTCCTTCCTTCCTTCCTTCCTTCCTTCCTTCCCTCCAAAAATACTATTAGATGCCAGAAATTGAGAGAGAGAAAGAGCAGCTCATTTCAAAGAGATTTAAGTGGAAATGCTTTTTCTAGTCATCTGGTGCTCCATTCTGCAGCCTGGCACGTAGTAGAGGAAGCCTCAAGCTATTCTCCAAGACAGGATTTGTCCCAGAAAAAGCATGCCTCATGTACAATAGACAAGGGGAACCACATACCATCTTTCCTGGTATCTCTGTGAAAGGATGCTGCCTTGGTTACTTTTCTATTGCTGTGCTAAGATACTAAGACCAAGGCAACTCATAGAAGAAAGAATTTGTTAGGGTTTACAATTCCAGAGCTTTAGAGTCTACAGCCATCATGGCAGAGAGCGTGGCACTTGAGCAGTAGCTAAGAGCTTACATCTGATCTACCAGCATGAGGCAGAGAGAAGAGAGAGAGCTAACTGAGAATGGTGTGGGCTTTTGGAAGTTCAAAGCTCATCCTCAGTGACACACCTCTTCCAACAAGTCCCACCTCCTGAATCTTCCCAGATAGTTCTACCAGCTGGGGACCAAGCACTCAAATATATGACCTATGGTGCCACTGTCTTTCGGACCGCAACATGATCTTAGAATGGGTTGTGGGGTGCTAGATGTTAAAGTCCCAAAGAGTCAATGCAAGGATAAAGGAAAGGCCTCCTAAAGTTTTATTCAAATATTGGGCGATTAAGAGCATAAGCTGCCAACAACTATCACAAAAAGACCAGACATTGACAATGAGGTGTCTTGGTCATGGCCTCACATTTCTCTATCCTTACTTCATTCTAGAACTCTCCCTCTGAACTAATTCCCCATTAATCCCCCAATGCTGTCAGCTGTATTGTGTCCCTGTAGAGCCTATACTGTATTAGTACTTTTAGTACATTTTTTGGTTGGGGGAGTTTCGAGACTGGCTGTCCTTGAACTCCCTCTGTAGACCAGCCTGGCCGCCTCAAACTCACAAAAAATCTACCTGCCTCTGCCTCCTGAGTGCTGGGATTAAATGTGTGCACCATCACACCTTTAGTACTTCTTAAATGTTATATTTACTTGTATTTGCAAAAGTCTGAAAAATAAAGGTTTTTTTCAAGTACAGTTGGAGTTTATAAAGAGATTTTCATATAGATTTTAAATATTAGGATTTAGAGAAAGACATTTAGGAAAAAGTAAGACATACCTGTGAATACAGGTATGGGCTTCTCAGAGAAGAGTCCCTAAATTTTAATAAGTAAATATCAATGGCTTCCAAACTTAGATGTGTTTTCTGGTTGCTTCTGATTTCATACTCTCACATCCAGATATCTATTTATTATCCCAGTTACTATATCCTAAGAACTTCAGATGTGTTGTTGCTGAGAGACTGTTTCTCTGGTGTCCACTATCTATGCATCATTGTGCCATACCCTAATGTAGTGAACAGTTCCTTGCCTAACTCTTAATGACAGATACCATGAAATTAGCCCCGTGCATGACTTGGAGATAGACTAGATGCTGTTTGGGGGAAAAAGAAGGAAATATCTTCAAATCCCAAGATATTCCTTTTAATGAAATTCATTATTATTACCTTTATCTATTTGGGATATGTATGTGGGACATGTGTATACCTGTGTGTATATGCATTTGTGATGTATGTGTCCATGTGTCCCTGTGTCCGTATGCATGTGTGCATATGTATGTATTGTGTATGTTATATTGTGTATTTGTTTATGTATGTATGTGTATATATGTTTGTGCCTGTTTGTGTGTGTGTGTGTGTGTGTGTGTGTGTGTGTGTGTGTGTGCATGTGTGTGTGTCTTAGGGTTTCTATTGCTATTAATAGATACCATGACCATGGCAACTCTTGATAATTGGGGTGGCTTACAGTTCAGATGTTTAGTCCATTGTCATCATGGTGGGAAGCATGGTGGCATGCAGGCAGACATGGTGCTGGAGAAGTAGCTGAGAGTTCTACATCTGGATCCACAGGCAGCAAGAAGAGAGAGACACTGGGCCTGGCTTGAGCGTCTAAGGCCTCAAAGTCTGTAGCTGAAGTTTTCCTGGTCCTGCCTGACTCCCATTGCCCTGCAGCCACTTGGACCCAAGTAAACATACAGAGGCTTATATTAATTAAAACTGCTTGGCCATTAGCTCAGGCTAACTATTGACTAGCTCTTATATTTAAACTAACCCATAATTCTTATTTATGTTTAGCCACATGACTTGGTACCTTTTCTCAGTTCTGCTTTCACATGTTGCTTCCTGTGTCTGGCTGGTGACTCCTGACTCAGCCTTCCTCTTCTCAGAATTCTCCTTGTCTGCTTATCCCGCCTATACTTCCTGCCTGGCTACTGGCCAATCAGCATTTTATTTATTAACCAATCAGAGCAATACATTCAAAGCATACAGAGAAATATCCACAGCAAAAGTCTATCTTCTGTGACACACTTCCTCCAACAAGGCCACACCCCTAATAGTGTCACTCCCTCTGGGCCTATGGGAGCCATTTTTATTCAAAACACCACAGTCTGTGTATGTGTGAGTGCATGTGCATGTGTGTGTATATGTATTTCCATGTGTCTGTGTGTCATGGTGTGTGTGTGTGTGTGTGTGTGTGTGTGTGTGTGTGTGTGTGCATGTGTGTGCATGCTAAGGTGCAGGTGGAAGGCCTGAGGACAACTCTCAGGAGCAGGTTTTCTTCCTTCAGCATGTGAGTTCCAGGGATTGAACTCAGGTCACCAGGCTTGGTAGCAAGCTCCTTTACCCACTGAACCATCTCACTGACCCTCAAGATGTTTCTTAATTTCGCCTTTCCTGTTCCTTTTGGCAGCTCTCTCCTTCTGGGGTAGTACCCAGAGGTGACTCCTCACTGATATTTCTCCCCAATTCTTGCTACACCCCCCTTAGCATCTAGTCTCCTTCTTCAGACACTGATCTGAGATATTTAGCTAAATGATGACAAAATTACTAACTACTCTAGACCATCCTTAACTTCCCATGCTCTTCTGACAAAACTTCCAGTATCTTGCATGACTTTTCAGTTCTGTTGTCTCATTATAAAATTCTGTTTCTTAATTTCCAAATCTATAAGATAAGGATAATAATAATATACAACCTACAGGATTATTATAAAGATTAAATTATTTAATATCTGCAAATACAGCTGTCCTGGCACAGAGTAAGTGTAATACATGTTTATTAAACACACAGATCAAGAACTTTATTGTGAGTCATTCTTCTCTTCCTTGATCTTCCTCTATCATGTCTCCTCTGTACGTGTGTGTATATGCACAAGTGTGTGTGTACATACATGCATTCATGAAGAGGCCTGAGTGTCATATCAGATGTCTTACTCTATCTCCACCTTCTGTTTTTGAAACAGTCTCTCAAGGGACCCGGAGCTCGTAGATCCGGCCATTGTGCCTGAGCTAGGTTTCAGGAAAGCACTGTGACCGCCACTCTAGGCTACTGATTTGCCCTTTCACTGGTGGAGGCATCGATTCTCCAGTTCCAACCTGTCTCCTTTTGAACAACTGCTTCGAGCTGTTCCATGCTTAGAACCTCTAGCCAAGTTAATTTCTCTTCTAGATGTTCTCATTTCCCAATTCATCCTATTCTTCCTGCCCTTTCTCTGGTTCTCAGTTTTAGAAGAGAAATTTTTATGGTTACCCTACTCCCTGATGAGCTCATTCCCCTGTATGAACTCCTCAAGCACTTTCCACTTTTCTTCTTCATAGATGTTTCCGTAATGCTGGTGACTTTTAAGATTTCCCACTTAAAGCCCACACACCTACCCAGGATGTCAGCACTAGGATTGCATTTCTGTTGCTTATGTTTCAGGCTAAGCATCAAGCACAATATCCGTCATGCACTGGGTTTCTAACAAATACTCACTAAATGAACAAATGAATGAATAAATAGATACTACAACTTTCCACTTAAGTGCATTATAACATCCTTCTGGGTGTTTATCGGTATCATTGGGAGCAACAGTTGTGGAGTCTTGTCGATCTATCAAAGGCACATGTGTCAAGACTGAGCTTTACACACACGGCTGAGGAGCTTTACTCAGAGGGACCATTTGCTCACAGATGGCCCAGCTGAAGCCTAGCGCTGGGGAGCTGTTTTCCCTTGAGTTGTCTCAGTTGGTGCAACAAAAGCAATACTTTCTCAGCACAAGAATTTTCCTTGTTATAAAGGAGTTCACTGCACACCACCAAAGGAGATAAATAAGCACAAATCCTCCGTAAAACCTTTGATCTATGATGGTGTCCTGTCTGCAAGACATACTAGTGTAATTAATACACAAAGCTTGTGGGAGTAACAAACCAATATCTGATTTAACTTAAGGTCCACTCCACAAGATGGAACCCATACATGACACTGCTTGGGTGACCAAGAACCTGAGGGCAGATAGCCTAAGGTAAAACCAAATACTAACATTAAACCAAATCAAACTAAAATGTAGCAATAAAATGACTCCTAATGGCATCCTGCTACACTCATAGATGAGTGCCTTGCTCATCATCATCTGAGAAGCTTCCTCCTGCAGCAGATGGAAACAAATATAGAGACTCACAGACAATATACAGAGTAAGAGACCTTGGAACATCAGCTCTAAACAGAATGTCCCCATCGATCCCCACCTCAGGACTCAGGAAACCCAGTGGAAGAGTAAGAGCCAGAGAGGATGGAAGACGCCAAGAAAACAAGGTCCTCTAAATCAACAAGACTGATGCACACACGAACCCACAGAGACTGAGGCAGCATGCACAGGGCCTGCATGCACCCTAGAGCTGAAGAACTGGACACATGTCTCAACCCCTAACCCAGAAGCTATCTCCAGTTGATAACCACTTGCAAATAGAAATTTAGTTTTCTCCCAGCAAGTCTCACTGGGGAAACAGTGTAGGCAGCATACCCAGCAGTAGATGTCCAACAGAAAATGATCTCAATGGCACCTTTGGAGGTTTCTAGTCTCATAATGTCATGTAAGGGATTTTCTTTTTTTTATTTAAAGTTTTCATCTTAAAACCAATATCTCTATCTATCTATCTATCTATCTATCTATCTATCTATCTATCTACCATATATACACAAAAACCAGGAAGTGGTGGTGCATACCTTTAATCCCAGCACTCAGGAGGCAGAGGAGGGCGGGTCTCTGAGTTTGAGGCTAGCCTGGTCTACACAGTTCATTCCAGGACAGACTGGGCTACACTGGCTCTAGAAACCCTGTTTCAAAAACAAAAACACTTTATTTAATCTTATTTTCTATTTTATTTTATTTGTATTTTTTTTCTTCCTTCTTTTTACCCTACAGGTCCTTTGTGTATTATTATGGTTTTCAATTCAGTGTTTTTATGAGATTCCTGAGTGTGTGAACAAGTTAAAGGCGTGCACCACCACCGCCTGGCTCTTGTGCTTTTTCTTGGGTTCTTCTCCTTCTGTTTGTTTTGTCTTATTACGAAGAGTTAGTTTTTGTTTTATATAATTTTATTATAATCACTTAGAAGCCTGTGTGTGGCTCTGGATGGAGGGGAGGTGGGGAGGAACTGGAAGAAGTAGAGGGGGGAAACTGTAATCAGAATGTATTATATGAGAAAAAATCTGTTTCAATAGAAGGAAAAAATATTTATTTTTAGATGGGGGAGGGGTTCAAAAAGGCCATTCTTTTTCCAGTGCTCTCTTGTTACAGCCGATTTACAGAGTTGAAATGTTTGCTAAGAGGCAGGTTTGCTACAGGGTTTGCAATTAACTCCTCCCTTTCCTACATGTGGGGGCCTTAAAACACCGATGAGGAAGTCATTCCTAGAGCATTCAACTGCTGGGCATGTGTGAGATAAGATGGAATCACAGTGAGGAAACTTCCTTTTTCACCAGTTTAGAATTTTGAAAAGCCACTGTTTCCAAGGGAACCATGCACTCAAATCACAGTGAATGAAGGAGCAAAACAAAAAACAAACAAACAACAACAAAGAAAACCCACAACCCCCAAAATCCTACTCTCTCCCTTTCTCTCCCCCCTCCCCTCCCTCTCTCTGTCTCTGTCTCTGTCTCTGTCTCTCTCTCTCTTTCTCTCTCTCTCTCTCTCTCTCACACACACACACCCCTGCTCATCTGCACGTCCCATGTGTATTTTCTGTAGTATCTCAGCCTGGGACTGAGAGATTTATGAAGGTCAGCTTGACTGTGAGCCGAGTGCTCTCCTGTAGCAAGCTCAGGATATGACCACTTTCGAGGCAGCAGGGTGTCTTGACATTATGAGGTAAATTGCCTCCTCTTGGCTACCAAGTGGTACCAGGAAAAAGTAATTTACCTTCTTCAGGTTACACACGCGCAGAGGATAAAGCACTCACCTAGATCAGCAAATTGCTTTTCCTTACATTATGAGATGCCACCCTGACACCGTGTTCTCTTTGCCCTGGTCCATCAGAGGGCTGGCTTTTAGCATTCCATTTTATGCCCTTTTTCCCGCTTCTGTGTACAGTTAGACAAAGAACACCGACAGAAAGGTCCTGCTTGGAGTGAAGATCAACAGAGAAAGAACCGCTGGTTCTTTTATTCCTCAGATTTGTGTCCCAGATGCAGGCTGTATCTACGTCAGAGAAAAAGATGCATTTCCAACATGATGCAGAACAGCCGTGTTCAGCGGGGCTGATTTGCAGACAGCTGGGGACAGCTGAGTATGGGCATCTGCAGTGGTATTTCTTACAACTTGTTAAAACTGCTTTCCTAAATCCCATGACACCAGTCAAGATAGGACCTGTGGTGAGAGCAAGGAGATGACCTCGTTCAGGAGACCCTGAGTGCTTTCACTCTATGCCCTCAAAAACAAGCTCATAAATTATCCCCCATGTCTTCCAAGGGTTAATGTGACCCTCCTCCTCTCGGTGACTCACTGCCCCTTCATCCTCAGAGACAGGTGTGCCACGGGTTTGATTGTATCAAAAATAAGCATTCACTCAGCATTGAATGTTTACAGAATTAAAAGCATGAGAAAATCTTAGACATATATCAAGATGGGCAGGTACAAAAATACACAAGGGTGTCCTGACCCATCACGGTTTTCATGGAAGAATTAACTTCAAAAAGGCAGAGATTTTTTGTGGTTTGTTTTGTTTTCTGGGAACACTGCTCCATGAACTGAGAGAAATAAAACAGACACAAGACTTCCTACGTATAATTACTTTGTGCTATGAATTTGCCCCTAAGCTTTATTTATTTTCCAATAAGGCCCAAGTTTGTATCCACAGAAAAATTAACATTTTTTAAAAATGACAGGTACAGTGTTTAAATTTCAAATTGCTTATAAACCAGTGATATCTTGCATAAGAGCAATCTTTCCAAGCATCAAATTGAGGAAAAAACAGTGGAAATCATGCCTTTGTGAGAAGCAGCAGTGAATGAGATCGGAAGCTCTCCACATAGTCCCAGGACTGTCCATTCTCTGGGGTCTCCCTGGGAAGCAGGAGTGCAGAGGCAGAAAGGGTCCCAGGAAGGAGCGCAGGCAAGTTTCCAGTTACTTAGTTTGTGTCATCCTATAAGAACACAATTAATTGGCTGTTGAGTTTTGGACTCCAAAATATAGTGCATGTAATATTAGCCATAAAAGGGGGAAAGAAGGAAAGAAGGTAGAAGAAAAGGGAGACAGGGAGGGGGAAGAGGGAGGTGAGCAAAGAGAGCGACAGAGAGACACTGGGAAAGAACAGAGAATGAACTGACAAGAAAAGGGAGGGACTTGGAGATCCATACGGCCCCTCCCCTTCCGAGACAGCCGGGAGGAGGGCAACCGGAAGCTTGGGTGCTTGCTGTGTCTTCTGGAAAGACAGAAGCACTAGCTCCCTTTCTACGCCTGCCCAGAAACCAAGTCTTCCTTGTATTTCCTTCATGCCTTCGTTTTCTCACTTCTGTATAATTTTGCTACATAAAACAAAATTTAGAACCATTGTGTGTTCATCTTCTCCCTGAGTGTATCTGGGATTTCATTTATTTGTCCTTTTCTGCGTTTACTCAAATCAAATATTTATGGGGTGACTATTACCTTCTAGAAATTGTATCACACAGTAGGACTATATACTGGACAGTATATCGGTGTCTCGTTTTTCAATGTGAAAAAAAAAAAGCCTGAAGATAGTTTTATGGTGTGAGAATACAATTAGCAAAGGGGGAAAAGGAGGCACATTTCTAAATTTTTATTTTAAAGACCTAATTTTTGAAAATGTGTAAGAGATTTTAAGTTCTGGGTTAGATGAAATGATAGGGACAAAATCCCTTCCTTGTCTGAAATAACCAAATATTTGATAAAACACATGAAGCAATACTAGTAAGTACTAAAGTTAGATACTGGGTGTCAGTGCACTAAGCTGTGCAGTGGGACTCTGAGATAATTCCTAGAATGCAGGGGAGACAGAGCACTGGGGCGCAGTGTGATAAACTCCTTGAGTTGAGAAGAGGGATTGGAGTGCAAAGACACCATAGTGTCTGGGAGTTGTCAGGATGGGTCACTGGAAGGGAGAGATTGCACAGAACTTCAGAGGTCCCATTACATCCTGAGCATAGAAATGGGTATCACCGACTCAGTGTGCCACCCCTCAAGGGAGTGCAGCTGTTACCATCAGATAAAATTAGACAAAGAGTTGGCAAGTCAGTTCAACCATGTGCAATGCATCACTGCCTTTCCCCTTTCAGCTGACTTTTAAGTTAGCATACAAAGTGCCAGGCTTTCTCTAGTGTCTTCATCATATGAGTGTGTCATTATACACACTTTCTTCTTTCTAAAAGACATTTTACCTTGTATTTTCTTCTGTTCCACCCCTCCTCCCCCATAGGTCAGAGGGCTTCCTGCCAGAGTTGATTTTCTCCTACCTTATGGGTCCTGGGGATCAAACTCAAGTTGCCAGACTTGGTGGCTAACCCTCTTCACCCTTTGTGCCATCTTGCTGGCCCTAAAAAGAATTTTCAAAGCTGCAAACGGATAATAAGAACAAACTTCAGTCAGAAAGAAAAAAAAGAGCCAAAAAATTGTGTACAGATGGATGGCAGATAGGAGTACTTGTGGGAAACTATTCCCTTAGAGGCAAGAATCACGTGAAAGACAAAGCCGTTCATTTGCTGCACAAGTGACAGGATGGGACCAGCTGAGACAGGCATGGTGGGAGGGTTTGGACAGGCTATGCCAAACTGTTGACAAATGAGAAGCCTAACTGTAACAAGCTAGGCATTCTGATTGCATGTGTTGCCATTGTCTATAACCATGATATTAATTCATCTTTGTGTGAATCAACACAGGGACACTAAGATTATTGAAAGTCTGCCTCCTATAAATTGTGAGCACTCAGTGGGTGCTGAAATCCAGAACAAAAGTAGGGAGAATGTCTGCACTTCTGTGTGTGGTGGACATGTCTATGGTGAGCCTTCCCTAATTTCAGCAGCTTCTGATATCATTTTTATCAACAAGAAAACTAGTTATTCAAAGACAAAACGTAAATTTCTTGTACCTGTTGTGTCCCTGATGTGCCCCATCATTATGTTCCTCTCTGGAAACACAAAAGAAACAAAACATGGCTTCTTTATCAAGGAAATAACTATGCCAATGTGTGCCAACCATAAACAAGTAACCTACGTAAGTCACACACATAGTGAGTAGAAAGCCATTGGAAGGCATTTTTCTAACTGTGAACTTATGTTCTTTGTCACGTCATACCATGAAAATAGATGGCTTCTTTACATTGTCTCCCTTCATAATACTGAACCAAAAATGTGGGCAGGTACCATAATGTATTTCTTTATATTTTCTCAGCCTGTTTTTACAGTCTTTGTCTGGGTACCAATCAATTTACAAAATTCAAAAGTATATAAATAGCTCAAAATCCTACCTTGACAAACAATTCTATAAGACAAAAACAATTCCATAACCAAAGTTGCGAGTACAGCATACTCTGTGATGCTTATTTACATAATATTTCTACTTCCGAGTTTCCAGTTGCCTCCTTCCCGTATTCAAACATGTAGCTTGGCGCTGTGTTCATTACAGAAGAGACATATCAGAGCGGAAACCAAGACCTGCACAAGGCTGGGGCATCTGTTTCTTTAGAGTGCAAAGTGATGGTCTGTGTATGGACAAAATATTTTTGTGAGAGAGTTGTTTCTCAGCTCATCCCCATTCACCATTAGAGACAGAGTTTGTGGAGCAGCCAGTATGTCACCTCTACCTGATTCTCGAAGTACTACTGGGAGAAGACAAATGCCTCAGGCCAGTTTTCTTACCCAGCCTCATGGTCATAATGGAAAGAGCATCCCACTGTCTACATGTCTAAGAACACAAAAAGTCGAAACACATTAAGTCTAAATAATAACAAGTCAAAACAAAATTATGAATGTCCCAAATTTTGAATAACATGCATTCTGATTTCTCTCACATCCTCCTGCCTCTTATCTCCCTTCCACACTATCAATAACCCACCCTTCTTATAAATTCCTTTTTGACATTCATAACTTTTGTTCTATTATATGACCCAACAAGTTCTAGCAAAGGTGTACATGTGACCGTGAGTTTGGAACTGTTCACTGAAGCCTGGTAGGCTCACAGTCGTGTAGCTGAAAAAAGTGATACCCTCCACCCCCAGCATCTACCAAGTGATTGGTAGATCTATCAATCCTTCCCCAAGTAGTTCCCTGGGGAAGGATCCACACCCCCACCCCGAATTTTAGCAGAAATAAAAAACTTTTACTTTTATGATCATGGAATCCCACAAGAAGGAAAGGGAAATTGACATTTTATGGCCAACTATTTAGAATGCTGTCTGTACTGTGAAGGGTGGCACACACTCTTCCCATGGAAGGCGCCGTGCTGCTCTGGGCCACGTACATTCTCAGTATGTAACCACCAATGGAGTTCACAAGACCTGCTTTTTGTTTCCAAAAGAAATGTTCCTATCCTGGACTGTGGCACAACACTCTGCATTAGCCACATTTTGTGGGGATCTGGAATACTCACTTCCTTATAGGAAAGAAGTGTCGGTAGACACCTCAGTGCCCAGGGCTTACTCCTCTGCTGCTGGCTGATTCTGTCTCACCACACAGGACTATTTGGTAAACACTCTCTGTCTCTCCCCTGGAGATGCTCTTATGTACTCGGGTTGGTGTTTCTCAAACAGACGTGCAGTGAGAAGTGTTTCAACATTTGTCATGCTGTGTGCTAAATGTGCCAGATGACCTCTCATTTTGTCTTACAAGTTCACAGTGACTTCACATTTTGTAACTGGCTGAAGTCAGTGGTGTGAGCTGTGGCTGTGATGACCCACAGATCCGAAGGTCTACTATCATAAAGATTTCAGCTCCTTAATGAAAACAACTTGTTACATGTGTGATCAAATGTGCTTTCGAGCTCTGCACTTGTCAAACTTTTCTAGGAAATTAATTTACAAATCAGAAAACATCTGCTACCCGACTCTATGCCTCAAGTTGAGGTTTAGAATCTTTGTCTACCACATTGCCACCTCGATTGAGTCTTATATAGGCCTGTCTCCAGATGTCTTGGGTGACATCTCTGAGCCCCAGACCCTGGCAGAACAAGACATACCATTTCCTTTCTTACTTTCCTCCTTTCATAGAAGACTTTCCTTCTTTCCTCTCTTAACTAATTCCACCATTCTTTCTTTGAACTCTGATTATTATTTGTCATTGTTGTGCTAGTGATTTGTGTACGAATAAGGGCACATTTGTACAATAAGTATGGAGTTCAGAAGTCAACTTTCAGGAGTTGGCTCTCTCCACCGTGGGATCTGGGGATTGAACTCAGGTTGTCAGGCTTGTAGAGGAAGGTCTTTAATATGCTCATCCATCTTGCCAGCTCTCTTTCTATTACTCTCACAAGAGGCTTCACATAGTCTTCTGTCTTACTACACACCATACTGCTTTTCCATATTGTCTAAATACATGGCCAGTTTTTGCATAAATTAATCCCTCTGACAAGGTAGATAGTCAGCTCTTAACAATGTGAGAGGTCACTGGGGATGTCAGCTTGGAAACAAAAAAAAAAGAACTTAAATTGCAGGATTTGATTTGTTGGTCACAAGAATGGCATCTGAGTAACACATCTGGCCCTGGGTGGAGACGTGACATTTTGAGCTACATGGAAGGTCATAAGATTATTATCTAACCAAAGGCTTTCTGGTAAAGTATGACATAGCATTGTCTCCTCCCTTAACAGTTAATCCAATGGCCTGTCAATCACTTAGGCATGAAAATGCCCCTGGGAAAAAGTATCTGTTTTAGAGCTTTTAGTGTAAATCCTGTTTAAGATGTAGACAGGGCCAACGTTCTCTTGGCCACTGCCCACTCTTACCCCTTGAGAGTACTTCACTTTAATGAACCCTACCTACCTTCTCCTCTGCACTCTGTATGCTTCGTCTGTTTTGTTGACAATCACAAAGAATAGGAGGCTTAGGGGAGCCCCAGGTGCTATTCCACTGACATCTTTGGCATTCCCATTGGACGCCCCTCATTTTCGTTGGTACAGTATGGAGTTCTCTTTTGAACCATATACCTCTTCACTCCTTTCTGCTTACCACTTTCCTCTTGAATGCACATTTTCATCTAGCTATGAGATCACCCTTACTTCTCTGCTTTCAGAATATGTAATCTTCAGTGACTTGCTCTTATTCTTTTGTGTTTCTGTCTCCTGCTACATCCATGCTAACCTAACTCAAATGTCCATTTTCAAGATGGGGTAACTATGCCCATATAATGTTTTCTGAGCATACCTCTTGTCATATGAAAAGGACCTTTTCTTATGTTGGATAAAGAAAGTTATGTCAGATTTCAAATGGTAGGACTTTCTCTTTTTGAGGCACTTATTTTTTTTTGTAATTTGTTAACTGTGTACTGAAAGGAACTTTGAGATTCACCTGTGGCTATTAGCTTATGATTTACTGTGGCCAGTGACTCTTTCCTTTTGTGTGTTTCTTCATGGTATCTCCAAATATTTGTAGGAATAAAATGCACGCTATAACTGAGAGTGATGATCATACCTTTATTGTGCATTTACAAAGGATGGAACTTGAACCTCAATGGCCAGTGACTTGGCTTTCTCTGGCCAAAGCAACTTCAGAATCAGACAAGGCTTGCTAACCTGATTCTTAGGGCTTCTGAGTAAAAGAGAGATGTCTCAACCACCCACTAGTACCCCAGGCTCCTCAAAACAAGAGACAGCCCCAGAACTAACTAGTGTCCCAGGCTTCTCAAAATAAGAGATAACCCCAGAATTAACTGGTGTCCCAGGCTCCTGAAAGGAAAAGTGTTGTGTGATATCTTGATTGTGTTCTGACAAATAAAGCTTGCTTGGAGTCAGAGGACAGAGCTAGCCACTAGTTAACCATAGAGATTTAGAAGACTGTAGAGAGAGGGACAGGAAATGATAAGGTGGGGAAGATACAAGATCTCTGCCTTTTAGGACTGGAGAAATGGAAGAGGAAGAAAGTGACTGTGGCTGCTCTCCTGCTTTTCTGGTCTTTCAGGTTTTACTCTGATACCTGACTTCTTGTTTTTATTGATAATATTAATTAGATTTACACTTCAAAAAGAGATGCTCCAAACAGTCACTGGCCTTTGCTTTCCCCTCTAGATGGGCAACTCCTTTTGATTCTTATTGATTCTCCTCTCAGATGTATCTTTCATAATTGGGACAAGTTTCCCCAAAAACTTGGAATAAAAAGAGAATGTTATTTTCTGAAGGATAATGTGACCAAGATGACAAATCGTAAGATGTGTTGTATAAGCATTACAACTTCATTTTATAGCTGGAAATTTACTGAAAGACTAAAATGGTCTGAGACAACTGTAAATAAAATACTTTCCTTTAAAAGGAGACCCAGATTTAAGCTAATAGTGATATAGAAGGACAGGTCCATAGGGTCAAAGAAATTGGCTCAGACCAGTTGCCAAGGTATGTACATAACATTCTCCTTATGAGCCAAACTGGAGTTCTGCCTGAGGGCCTAGCAACAGAAGCTGTCAGAGTTCTTGGTCACTGTCAGAGTTCCTGAACATACAGAGTCTGTCTGAGAGCCTAGCAAGAGGTGCTGTCAGAGTTCCTGGTCACTGTCAGAGTTCCTGATTGTGCCTAGCCAATGAGGGACAACCACACAATGTCACCAGATTGCAACACAGACTGGGTGCTGGAAGGAGGGTATATAAGGCCTTCCCTGTTATTGAATAAATGAGCTCATTATTTGCCTTCAACAGACTCCCAGTGTCTGTGTTATTGACGCTGTGCCTCCTAGGGAGCTGTTAGGATCCAGCAACATCTGGTGCTTTAATGTGGGGCTTCTGTTACTTTCTCTTTCCCAGCACAGGTTCTGATCATCTCCCTCCCTTCACTCACAGTGCTTGACAGCGCCCCCAAGATGGTGTGTTTTGGTGAGAAGACCCCTTAGTGTTGTGTTCTTTCAGTCCCTTTGACAGGTAAGCATTGGGACCTCTACTTCTTTCCTTCTTTTGTGTTGTGTGTCATGTTTGTCTGCCCATTCCGTTAGGA